CACTGCACATACACGCACACCCGTGCACACACAGGCACACACTGCACATACATGCACACCTGTGCACACACAGGCAGGCATTGCACACACACACGCACATGTGCACCCACACAGGCACATATGTACGTACACACTCCTGTACACTGCCACATACATGCACACAGCACAACGCTCGTGCACACACGTGCTTGCAAACGGGCACAGTCGTGCACTGAGTGGTGAATACGTCTGAGGACCCCACAGAGTGTGCTGCTTAGAGGAAGGGCACCAGTGTGATGCACGTCTGAGCTGGTCCCTGCCCCCGTGGGGCCTGGCCGTTGCCCACAGGTCTGGGGCATGCCAGCTCACACGGTGGTGTCCAGACATGCGGACTGGGGAAGAGAGCCCAGGTCGGCTGTGCCTGTAGGGCCACCCCTCGCAGACAGCAGGGCCTCCTGATCAGGCTCGGAGGGGAGACACCTGGCGATGAGGAGCCCCTCCCCCCTCAGGGGAGCCAGACACTGGGATCCTCAGCATCATGCAAGCTGGGCGTGTCTAAATGCCATCGGAGATTCTCCGGGTGGCTTTAGGGGCAAACGCCATGGGGCCTGTGGCTGAGGCCTCCCCTCAGGGACGGGGCCGTTTCAGCCCTTCTGGAGCCGGCTGTCCAGAGCATGGGCTTCCGCTCACACAGGGTCCTGAGCCAGCGGGCTCCTCCGGCCACCCAGGGGTCTCGTCATGTGCTGAGGGCTCCCAGGCCCGAACTCTGGACCCTGTAGCCTCCACCCTGCTCTGGCACAGGTGAGAGGAATGACCCCCCAGCCGCGTGCCCAAATCCACAGTGGTTGGACAAGTGAGGGGCAGGGGTCGGACGGGTCCAAGAGGCCAGGGCGAGAGACGGAGAGGCTCAGGTGGCACTCACCAGCCGAGGGACCCCAGGTCTGTGGGCACCCTACCCGCATTGCAGCAGACAACCCCCCCACATCACCCCCAAGGTTGGGAGCCATCTGGCCGTCCTGTCGTCGCCTCCAGAGGGGGCCTCGGAGACCCTGGGGCTCTCAGCCTCGCTGCCAGTGGGCCAGGAGGCTTCATGCTCAAGTGGAATAAGCCCAGCTGGGCTGCAGGGCTGCGGAGTGGCCTTGGCAGGAGTTTAATGGGCTGTGGCAGACACCGGGGAAGGAGGTGATGTGCTGTGAATAGCAACTCGGCCTCGGCGGGCAGACGCCTATCCGTCTGCCCAGTGCCCCCTCCCGCCGACACCCCAGCAGACACCTGCCCAGCACCCATGAGGGCCCCACGGCAGAACGGAGCCTTGTGACTTCCCACACATCAGCCTCTCCTGCAATACAGTCTGACCTTGTGGCTGACCAGCCTTCAGTGACACGTTTGCTGGCACAGATCCAGCGTCTTGGGCAGGTCCAGAGGGTTCTTCATGGCCCAGCCCAGCCCACCGGCCTCCCAACCTGCCCCTCACCATCCCCGGCAACACGTGCCTGGGTGGGCCGTGGGGTAGGTCTGAGAGCAGGGACCCCCTAAGATCTGTTTCTTGCAGGGCAGGAGTGGTCCCCACTTTGCAATTGTGCAGCCACAGACTCCACCTTATCCCAGGTGGGAGGAGGGGTTTGGGGAGGCAGGTGTAGGTGAACCCCCAGGTCTGGGTAGCTCTCCAGGGCAGCAGAACATCAGCCAGTCCCTGCACCTCAGCAGGGAAGGCACACTTCCCACCGAGGACCCCTATCTCCCGGCATGTCCCCATGTGGGGCTTCTGTGCATTCAGAAAGCCCCCCACCCCCACCCTGCTCAGGTAGACTTTGAGCCAGGGTCACACAGGGACGTCTGGGTCACCGGGCACATTTCAAATACAGTGTCTTGTGACCAATTGATTTTTTTGGCCCTGGGATTCTAGCAGGACCAATATGAAACTCCATTCCCTGCTGGGAGGGCTGGCGGCCAACTCCCGGGCCTGCTGACAGCTCCCTGCACACTGCCAGGCCCCACCACAAACCCACCTCGGCCCCCGAGGCGCCTTGTGCTCTGAGCTCGTCCTGGCCCAGATGTCACACGGACCCTGCAGTGGGACTGTCCTCTCCCCTGCAGGGGACCCCCAGCCTTGTGTTCCCCCAGGTAGCCTCTGCGTCCAATCCAGCCTCAGCTTCGGAGCCCAGCCTGACATCGGCACACAGGAGGTTCTGGAAGCACTTGCCGGACTCTGGGAGGGGTGACAGTGCTGCCTGCCCCTCAGGGACCTGGGACCTGTCCTGTTCTGGCACCCAAACCGGTGCACCCTCTTTGTCTCGTCTGAATTCCCAGGGGGCGGCCAGCACCGCCCATTCCTCAAGCCTGGCTGCCTGACCTGTGTGTCTCTTCTGCAGCCACTATTCTGCTGGATTGCGGTGTTTTGCCTCAGATTGCACACCCCTGTCCACAGTGGCTGAAATCCCATGGGAATCTGGACAGGACACCTCCTCCAGGAAGCCCTCCTTGCTTGCTCCCACAAACATCTTTCCATCTATTGTGTACTGTACTGACCCAACGGTGCTGCCCGCAGGTGGCCACAGCCTCCAGGACCTGCCAGCCCACTTGCTGATGGTCTGGCGGGTTCCGGCTGAGAGAGCGCTCACACATGCACGTCCACGTGTCTCAGGCCCACACCACAGTGAAGCTGCTGGGACACAGGGCACTGGTGCCTTCCACTTCACCAGCGAGTGCCGGGCTGTTTTCCAAAGATGCCGCTCCGTTTGTCCTCCCACCAGCGCGAGGGAGAGCTGCTGCGATGTCCCTGCCAAACACACGCCGCTGCCCGCTCTTCAGCTCTCGCCAGCCTGGCAGTCTTGGGAAGGCATTCGCGGGGGGTGTACTTTGCATCTCCCTGATTGAAATAAGCAAACATCTTTCCCATGTTCAGCAGCTGTGTGGATTTTCTCTGGGGCCATGTCAAAGAAGGGACACTCCAGGGGCTCCGGTAGGTGTCCACTGGGGTCTCTTTCTTGACCCCACTGTGGAGCCAGCTGTTATAATTAGCTGTAGAATAAGTGAGTTCCCACATCTTATGCAGCCTCTGTGTGTCCTGGGCCTGGCGCCACCACGCTTCCCCTGCAGCTGCCCCATGCCCTTGGCACTCTCGGGGGCTCCTGCCGCTGCCCCTGGGGTGTGATGCAGCCTTGCGGCCCCCTCCCCTCACCCAGCACCACTTTCTGGTGCAAGTCAGGCGCAGGCACGTGCCCCGATGGAGATTTCAGAAACTTCCAAGCCACACATGCACAGAAAGCAGAGTCCGAACTCGGGGAGGTTCTCAACGTGGCGGGCTCAGTGCTGGGCACGGGGTCGGGCCTGGACCCTGCCGAGTTACAGGAGTGTCGTGGAGGGCCCACCAGAACGTTCCCATGCACGCTGCTAACTTGGTGGCGTTGCAGTTCACCTGGAGGCCTCGGTGGCCGACACATGATGGAGTCCCGCAGCCCAGCTCTGCGCAGTGTGGGAGCTATCGGCCAGCCAGAGGATGCTGCTGTCCGGGGCGGGGGAGGGTGTGCGGCGTGTGGCTCCGAGTCAGGACCTGGGCTCACGGCTGGTGCTGCGTGTTCTGTGTACCTGTGTACGTGGCACCGGCTGCTGCCTCCGTGTGTGGCGCGGGGTGGCCCTCAAGGCTCAGACCCCTGGTGCGTGAAGGAGCTGTGGGAAGAGCCGCATCCTTGGGGCAGCCTCCCAGAGTGATGGGGAGACGGCTTCCTGACAGATGCTCTGGGATGTGTCCTGGAGGGTTCTTAAGGCTGTGGGCAGAGCATGCCCTTCCTGCTCAGTCGGAGCTGCGGTGATCTTTGAAGCTTCACTGACTCCCCGGCTGCTCCTCTCTACAGCCTTCAAAGGCACCAAATCCAGGCCACAGTGGGGGCGGGGGCAGTGCCAACCCCCGCATAGCCTCAGTGGTTTCTAGGTGGCCAGGCAGCGGGCCTCCTGGGGCCAATGCTGAACCTTCCCAGAGGACGGTGCCTCTGCAGCAGAAACTCCCGGTCCCTTCAGAGCCTGCTATCCAGGCAGCGGTGGGGGCTGCAAGGGCGTCAGGCCTGGGACTCTGCTACCCACATGCCCTGCTCCAGCCCTGCCTGGCCAGCTGTTTAAAGAGGGCGCCGCAGCATCCCACCAAAGGCTGCAGGTGACGACGCCGTCACCAGAGACACACACAGATGCCCAGCGTCTGGCTCTTGCCTGTTGGAGGCCTGGCAGATCTTGGACCCCGGAAAGGATGAGGGTCCCTCCGGGAGCGGCTGCATCTCCCAGGGGCCACCTGCCATGCCGCCGCCGGGCCTGGCTTGTCCACTGCACCCAGCCAAGCCAGAGCTGAGCTACAGGGTCAGACTCAGCCCAGGAGGGGTCTGGCCTCAGGCCAGTCAGGGCAGTGGGTGCTGCGGGGTGGGTCGTCCCTGAGCAGAAGAAGCGCCAGGGTATGCAGATGGCAGCCAGAGCCCCTCTGTGCCCTGGAGAGTAGCGGGGTCCTGGGCGAAGGCCCGCGGAGCCAGAGAGCAGGAAGCAGCTCAGTCTCGCGGTTGCGGGGGAGGGCGGTCATCCTGAACCTCAGCTCCGGGGCCTCCTCCCGCAGCTCCTGAGCGGCGCCTGATTGGGCTCCGCTGCACTGAGCCCCGCCGGCCTCCTGGGACCGGCAGGGAGGTAAGGAGACCCCCCACCGCCCCCTGGCTTCCTCCACACGGTCCCGCCAGGGTTCCCATCAGGAGCCGCAGCGCGCCAACTTCCTCAGGGGTACCCACCCGCCGCCGTCCCGCGCACAATCGGGGCTCTGTTCCCTCCCGGAGGAAATCGAGGATGGCGGTGGGACCCCCTCGGCCAAGACCCAAAGGAGGGCCTGGGGCGGCGGGAGCCGCGGCCCCTCCCGGGTCCGTCCTCCGGGCTCTCCGCGGACCCCCCGGCGGCAGAAGGTCCCCCAGCCCGGGTCCGGGGCTCACCTCGTCCTCGGGGAGGGTGGGCAGCGGCTCGAAGTCGTAGAAGTCCAGGTCTTTGCCGTCCTCCTCGTAGAGATCCGCCGCGGCCGTGTCCATGGCCTGCATCCTGCGGCCGCGCCGCGCACCCGCCCCCGTGCCAGCGAGCCGCCTCCTCCGCGCCCCGCGGCCGGGCTGGGCTGGGCTCGGCTACGCGCGCCCGGGCTCCATGGCGACGCGCCCGGCCCTCGCCCGCCCCCGCCCGCCCGCCGCTGCCGCAGTGTCGCCGGGGGACGGGCAGGAACTCGGGGTCGCGGGGGGGACACGGGGGGCGCGGGGGACGCGGGAGACACGGGGGGCGCGGGGGGGGGCGCGGGGGCTGCGCGGCGAATCCGGTCCCTGCGCCTCGGGCACGTCGCCCCTTCCCGGGGGAGGCACCGGGGGCGGAGCCGGCGTGTGGCCGCCGCGGGGAGCCCCGGGGTCTGCGCCCACCCTGGGCTCGGAGGGTCGATGGGCGAGCCGGCGCCCCGAGAGCACTGGCGGCCCGACCCCCTCGCCGGCTCCCACCGCCCCCGTCCCGCACCCGAGGCCGCCGGGCGGGGCTGCCGCAGTCCAGGGGTGGCCTCTGCAGAGGCGTCCGGGCAGGGCGGGGCGGGGCGGGGCGGGCCG